TCTTTCTGTTTTTACGTCTTAAAGATTTATGTTTTTTTTTTTTTTTTTTTTTGTAAAAAAAAAACGCCAACGGCCCCTTTTTTTTTTTCGGGGGGGGTAATAATAATTTTTTTTTATAATAAAACGGGGGTAAAAAAAAAAAAAAAAAAAAAAAAAAAAACAATTAGCTGCGGGGGGAAATCAGCCAACGCTTTTTAAACGTTGCCAAAAAAAAAAAAAATCAAACGACTAAAATAATTTATTAAAAAAAAAAAAAAAGTTTACCAAATCTAATTTTTTTTTTTTTTTTTCTGTTTGCTTTTTGCTTTTATTGCGGAAATGAAAAATTTAAAATTTGAAATTCGAACATTCGAAAAAAAATGAATTTTAAAATTGATACGGAATAATTTTTGAAAAAGGTAGCCGCCATCTTTTTTTTTTTGTGTTGTCGATGAGAGAATTGAGTCAATCATTTTTAAATATAATTTACCTTCGATTAAATTTCAAATTAAAATTTAAATAAAGAATCCAGTTCTTCGTTTTTTCTATTTTTATTTATTTTAATTAAAATATAAATTAATAATCGTGATATCACTTTTATATAATTATTTTTAATAAATTTCGGGGATTTAATTAAAAAAAAAATAAATAAAAAGGTGCAGTGTCACCGTTCGCGCGCGGATTTCGGTTACTAATTGAAAATTCGTTGCGTCCTGACGGACGCAACTCTTCCTTTTTATCCCAATGTAAAAATTCAAAGGAAATTTTTTATAGTGGCCGAGAATTTTTTTTTTTTTTTTGTTTTTCATACGTTGCAAACTTGGAAACTTGAAATTTTTGTTTACGAAATTTTTTTTTGTCTCGTATGACGTCATTTACAAAATTTTTCGTTCGTTACTACCGCCGCCACCACCACCGCCACCATCGTTAATTATTTCGAAATAATTTTTTTTTTTTTTTTTTTTTTAAACAAATATACGAAAACGTGAAAAATTTTTAAATTAATAATAATAATAATTAATCTCACCTGAATTTTAATGATTTCAATATTTCGTCCAATATTTATCACAGATACAGACACAAAATTTAAAAAAAAAATGTCGTAAAACAAATGAATGATGATAAAACGAAACAATTTAAAATTAAAAATCGAAATTATTATTATTTTTTTTTTCATTGATAGAATTTAGTATGAATTGTATTATTAATAAAATTTTTTATTTGTTTTTTAACGAATTCGTCTCATTATTAATTTCCCGGAAAACAAAAAAAAGCAAAAAAAAAAAAAAAAAAAACGAACGCTTTCGTTATTCTTTTCTTCGAATAAACTGTTTTAAACTGTAATTTTAGTTTATAAAAAAAATCGATAGATGTCAGCCTATACAAAAAATTTTTGTCCGTTAAAAAAAAAAAAAAAAAAAGAAGCTTTAATCCTATTATTTAATTTTTCCAAAGTTGGTATTCAATAAGTCAACCTTATTCGTTAACTATAATTATGGGTTTTTTTTTTTTCTGTCTGTCTTCAGATCGTTGAAATATGTAAAATTTTCACTTATTTAATGGATAAGTAAGTAATTTATTACGATACGATTATTATATTTAATCACGACAATGATTAAAACCGTTGGAAAACGTCATAAATGGATAATTTTGATTAATCCGGGATGAAAAGGTGAGTTTCAACAAAAGTACATGAAAAAATAAAATGTCGAATATAATTTTGGCGCTCGAAATGATCTTTCGTTCATAATCGATATTTTAAATTTAAAAAAATTGAAATTTTATACTACGAAATCAAAATTAAAAGGAGTAAAACCATAAAATAATTATATAAAATTGGTAAATAACCGAATATGTTGATACGTAACGATTCAGTCAAATTGTATATTATATATATATTAATGAGAAATCGAAGGTGAAATGTGAGGAAATATGAGTTTTCCTCTTTAAACAAACACGAATTTATAAATAGAAAAAAAAAAAAAAAACATTATATGCATTTTTACAAAAAATTCAAATTTGTTTTGCCATAATTTAAACGACAAAAAGAAAAAAAAAATTAAATAAGTCATGTATGAAATGATATTAGTTTATTTAACGACATTATGACGTCATTCATATTCTCTCTATAGTTTTACATAACAGTTTGAATTTTTTTTTTTTTTTTGTTCAACAAGTACAGCATATATAATAATAATAATAATAATTTCAAGTTTTTTTTTTTTTATAAATAATAATAATAATAATAATAATAAGTATGAAAAATAATAAAATAAAAAAAATTTTTGTTTCAAATAAACATTTCAACAAGATGTAGTAAGAAGAGAATTTAGAGTGGAAAATTTTTTTTAAAAAAAAAAAGATTTTTGTCTGCCAAAATTTTAACATAATATATTTCTAGAACAACTACCTTGAAATATCATAAAAAACAAATACTGTTGGAATTTAATATGTAAAATTTTCAACAACAGCAACAGCAAATTTTTTTTCATCATCTTCATTTAATAAAATGATTGTAAAAGTGCAGGAAAGAAAGAAAGAAAAAAATACTCAACGGTAATTTATAACGTTATTAATTATGAATTTTTAAAAATTAAATTTAAAAAAAAAAAAAAAAAAACGTAGGCACTACAAAAATAATAATAATAATAATGAGTCACTTATATTAAATAAATAAATAAATCTCTTTAGTTAAAAAAAAAACAAAAAAAAGTTTAAAAATAAATTTATAAGTCATCATCATCATCATCATCTAAAAAAAATGATCTATTTAAATATCAAGGTTTTTTTTTTAAATAAAAGAAATTTTTTTTATATATATATATATAAATTTAATCAGGATAATAATTACATTAAGAAAAAATTTGTTTTATTGGGGAGAGGGAGGGGAGGGGAGTATTTGATCCAATTTAAATTATCACACATTTATATTTTAGAAATTGTGAGCTTTTTATATTATTTCCCAACATCAAAATGGAAAAAAAAAAAAAAATAAATTTTTATAAGTTTAATGACCAATTTTTTAAAAAGTTGTGAAATTATAATAAAGAATGTAAAATGATAATAATAATATTATAATATTAAATGACAACCTCAGGAATGATATGACGTGTAAAAATTTTAAATTTAATTGAAATTCTTAATTTTTTTTTTAACTTTTACGGGAAAAAAAGAAAAATCAAAACATGTTGATAATAAAGGTGAAGAAATTAAGGGAAAACAGAAAAAAAAATGAAATAAGCCAGACGAATTCACAAAAAAAAAAAGAAAAAATTTGTTGTATTAAAAGAAAATGGTCGAAACTGCCAATTCAAAAAAAAAAATATATATATATATTTAAAGAAAGTTTTTTTTTTTTTTTTTGCGATTTTTATGTTTTTTTTTTATTTTTATGTAAAAGAAAAAAAATTTTTATTTAAAGGTGGAAAGAAAGATTGGTGGTTCATTGAAGAAGTAAAACTCAGAATGTAAAAAATATAATGTCCACCTACAGTCGAACAAACATCATCATTCGGAATCACCTCCCACCTGCGCCTGCCTTTCGGGGGTCCTACGTGGCTAAAAAAGGACGGCGCTTTTCGGACTCCTCACCTCGGATCCCAACGAAAAGTAATATGAGAATTTCAACAACAACCGATTGAAGCGCTCTCTTTTAGAAAAATTTTTTTCTTTAAAAAAAAAAAAAATGAAATCATTGAGTTATAAATAAGCAAGAAACAATTTGTGAATGTGTGCTAAGCAAATGTCCCAACAAGATTCTTATAATATAATCTCTCTCTCTCTCTTTCTCTTTCTCTCTCTTTCTCTCTCTCTCTCTCTCTTATGTATCTCCGGTCCCTCATGTTTAAAAATTTTTTTTTTTGTAAAAAAGTTTTCTTCTGATTGATTCTATGACTATCCCAAGCTTACACTCGATCAAACATTATCACCTACAATTAAAGCTTAACAAAAACGACTATGAAAAATAATAATAATAATAATAATAATAATAATAATAATAATTTTCATTTATTTTCAGGTTTAAATTTTTACAAGAATTTTATTTTCATATATTTAAATTTCTATATATTAAAAAGAGAAAGAAAATAGAAAATAGAAAAAGAAAAAAAAAAAGAAGCAAATTTTTAAAATTCTTTTTAAAAATTTGATTTGGATAATATCCAGATATATGTAAAAACAAATTTTGTTTTTCTTTTTTTTTTCTTTTTCTTTCCCTTCTTCTTCTTCTTCTAATAATAATAATAATAATAATAATAATTTAAAAATAAACCTTTGTTTTTAAGGTTTTTTTTTTTTTTTTGACTGCAAATTTTCTCTTTGCTCCCGGGTGCTACGACCCCCCGCCCCCCTTTTCTCTCTCTCTCTTTTTAATTAAAATAAATTTAATTATTTCAATGTCAAATAATTATTTAATTTAAGTTAATTTCATGTTAAAATGATAAAAATTTTCCCAGCCAAATTTTGTAAAAAAAAAAAAAAAAAAAAAATTGTTTTGTATTACACAAGTTTTTCTTTTTCTTCTCGTTTTAGGTTTTCTCTCTTCGAAAATTCATTTCAAATTGGATTTTTTTTACACTTTTCATAATGGATGGGAGAAAAGAAAGTAAAGAATATTCTAGAATGTTCCACATGGGATGATAATAACAAAAAAACAATCGGACGAAATAATAATAACGCACATAAGAAAAATTTTACACAACATTCGATACTTGACACGATATCGTTCATATTTAAATTAATAATAATAATAATAATAATAATTTTATATTGGAAAAAAAAAAAAATATGCATGTACGTATTTATATATATATAAATATATAAAATTGACTCATGACAAAATATATATGTATATATTTATGCGATAAGTAAGATTGGCATTCGTTTCGAATGGTCAAACACAATAATAATAATAATAATAATAATGTATGTATATCATCGATGAAAAAAACACATCTTCGCATATGAATTTCATACGATTGTAATTAAATATAATTTTTTTTTTTTTTTTTTACAGAAAGAGAGAGAGAGAGAGAGAGAGAAAGAGAAGGAAAAAGGCGCAGTCGCCAAATCAAAAAGATATGCTATGTTTTATTTGACGCTGTGGCAATACGAACGCAAGGTCTTGCTGCGGCCGCATCCAAGACCTACTACGACATCATCAACGAACACGGTGTATATTAAATAGGATTTATTATTATTATTATTATTCGTAGCGGGGTTTTTTTTTTTTTATTAAAAAAAAAAAAAAATTTAAAACGCGAGTGTTTTTGTGTTTAATATCGTGGACTCACTGATTAAATAACATTTTTTTAAAAAAAAAAAAAAAAAAAATGGCAAGCATTGCAAAAACGACGAAATCTTATTCTTACCGTTCAACCGGTGGCGGAAATGCCGATATCCAAATTGAATATAATGCTGATCTTAGCGCATTGTCGAGATTGGAGGTTAGCAAATGTATTTTTTCTTCTGCTGTATTATTAAGAAAATTTTTTTTAAAAAATTAATTTTTAAAAAACTAATTTAAATAGGGAGAGTAGGATTTGATGGATGTAACAATGGGGGGGGGGGAGAGGAAAAAAAACAAATTTTTAACCTTTTTTAAAAGATTTCTAACAGAAAATAACATAACACAAAATAACAACATTTTGTCGATTGAAAATTAACTTTAAACAAAAAAAAAAAAAAAAAAAATTGTTTTACTAATATTTTGATAAAAGATAACAAAAAATAATTAATAATAATAATAATAATTGAATGAATTCAATAATGACAAAGAAAAAGAAAACTTTCAAAAAAAAGTGTCAAAGGAAAACAAAGAGAGAGAGCAAAAATTTAACGATAGCAAAAATTTATTTTTTTTTTTTATAATTTATAACAATTAAAGTTACCAAAGAGATAGATTTTAATAATAAAAAAAAAATATAACAAAAAAGAAAAAGGGAAATTTTTGTAATTGCTGTTGCTTTTGCTGTTGTTGTTGTTGCTGTTGAAAAAATTTTTAAAAAGTTTACGAAAAAGTATACACACACACGCACACACGTCGTCCATGTTTATTTTAAGAAATATCGGGTAAAATAATAAAATAGAAATGCGTCAGAGTCTATTTTGGCAATTGGCAATTGACACTCTCGTGAAATAATAATAATAATAATAATAATAATAAACCATCGAACGAATTTAAATTTTTTGCTTGCGTTCGAGAAAAAAAATTTTTTTTTTTTTTTGTGGGAGGGGGGGAATTTTCTTTTTTTTTTTCAATTTCCCATCGTCAATTTTCACGGCAAATTCGTAATCGTTTCTTTTCTATTCCCTATTACACGGATCGTAAAAAATGTAAAAAAAAAAAAAAAAATGTCGAATTTCATTATTATTATTATTATTATTATTATTATTATTATTGACCCATATTTCGATATTTGAGGTTTTTATCCGATCATTTTCCTCCTCCTTCTTCTTCTTCTTATTCGTTTTAATTTTTATAATAGGAAAATCTTGTTAGGAAATTTTTTTTTAATACTTTTGATTAAAGAAAAAGGGAAAACTCTTCGTGTTATGATTTATTTGTTATGAAAAAGACATTTTTTTTTTTTAAGGGTTGAAAACTTTTTAAGAAAAACGTAGAATTAACGGAATTTATTGTTTTTTTTTTTTTGTTTTTACAGGACAAAATTAGATTATTGCAAGAAGATTTGGAAACAGAAAGAGAATTTCGCCAAAGGGTAAGTACCCCTATAAATAATAATAATAATAATAATAATAATAATAATAAATTTTCATACAAAATTCAATAAGTATTATTATTTTTTTTAAGATCGAAAGAGAAAAAGCAGATCTTAGCGTTCAAGTCATTCAACTATCTGAACGTTTAGAAGAAGCTGAAGGTGGCGCCGAAAGTCAGGTACGATAGGAAGCAAAGAAAAGTTATGAATTGATATAATGAACGAAAACTAATTTAAAAAAATTTTTTTTTGTCGGAAAAACAGTTTGAAATAAATAAGAAGAGAGATTTAGAACTTGCAAAATTGAGAAAATTATTAGAAGATGTTCATTTGGAAAGTGAAGAAACGGCTCATTTATTGCGGAAAAAACATCAGGAAATCGTTGTCGATTTTCAAGATCAAATCGATCAATTATCGAAAGCAAAACAAAGGTGAAAAAATTTCTTACAAAAATATTACTCAATAATGGCGTTTAATAATTAATAATGATTAATTTTTTTTTTTAGAGCCGAAAAAGAAAAAGCAAGATTTCAACAAGAAGTTTACGATCTTATGGCACAACTTGAATCAGCAACTAAAGATAAGGTATATACGTCGTCGCCATCTTTGTTGTTGTTATTAGTTAGTTAGTCAAATTTACTAAATAAATTTTTTTTATTAGCTTGTGAGTGCAAAACACGTTGAAAAATTAGAAATTCAAGTACACGAACTTAACGTTCGCATCGAAGAACTTAATCGTACCATTGTCGACATAACATCGCTCAAAACAAAAATCTCTCAGGTTTGAATTATCAGGTGTTTTGGAATTTATATAATGTTCAAGAGGTACGAATAAAAAAAATTTTATACAAATTTTTACAGGAAAATATCGAACTTGTTAAAGAGGTACAAGATCTTAAAGTCAGCATTGAAAATGTTAATTATTTGAAGAGTCAAGTTGCCGGTCAATTGGAAGATGCCAGACGACGACTTGAAGATGATGAAAGGGTAAAATTATTATTATTATTATTATTATTATTGTATCAGGTGTTAAAATGAAAATTTAATTTAAAAATGTATTTTCATTGCAGAGACGATCACTTCTCGAAGCTTCCCTACACCAAGTTGAAGTCGAATTGGAATCTGTTAGAGTTCAATTGGAAGAAGAATCCGAAGCTCGTCTTGAGTTGGAACGTCAATTGGTAAAAGCCAATGGGGATGCTCAATCGTGGCGTTCTAAATACGAAACGGAAGCTGCTGCAAGAGCAGAAGAAGTCGAAGAACTTAGGTGTGTGTGTGTGACTTTTGTTTTTTTACCCATTAATTTAATTGTTTTTGGAAAGAAACGTTGTAAATGTTTTTTTGTTGTTCCAGACGCAAATACAATGCACGAATTCAAGAACAAGAAGAACACATTGAATCTCTCGTTGTTAAACTCAACAATTTGGAAAAACAAAAATCCCGATTGCAAAGCGAAGTTGAAATATTAATCATCGATTTGGAAAAGGCCAACAACACGGCGAGAGAATTGCAAAAACGTGTTGAACAATTGGAAAAAGTCAACGTCGAACTCAAGAGTAGACTCGATGAAACCGTAAACCTTTACGAACAGGCTCAACGCGATCTTAGAAACAAAGCAGCCGAACTTCAAAGAGTCAATCACGAATTGGACAAAACTCGCGAACAAAAAGATGCTCTCGCTAGAGAAAACAAAAAGTTGAGCGGTAAGAAAAAACAGGATAATAAAATTAACAAAATGTCGACGACAAAAAAAAATCAAAACTTTGTAATTTTTTTGTAATAAAGATGACTTGCACGATGCCAAAAACACAATTTCTGAAATGAACAGAAGATTACACGAGATGGAATTGGAATTGAGACGTCTCGAAAATGAAAGAGAAGAACTTTCAGCCGCATACAAAGAAGCCGAAGCTGTGAGTATACGTTTACTCTTTTTAAATGATGATAATAATAATAATACTTGGACAAAAGAAATGGTGATTAATGGAAAATTATGATTTTTTTTCAGGGACGCAAAGCCGAGGAACAAAGAGCACAAAGATTAGCTGCTGAAATGGCTCAATACCGTCACGAAGCAGAACGTCGCTTGCAAGAAAAAGATGAAGAAATCGAAGCAATCAGGTACGACGACGACGACGACATTTTTTTAATACAAAATTCATTTTTTTAAAATAGGTTGTGATACCTCAACAACCACGACGACAAACAACAAGAATTTTTACAGTCACTTAAAAAAAAAAAAAAAAAAAAAAAAAAAACAGAAAAACAGGGAACGGAAAATTTTTACCGGGATAACAAACTATTTATAAAAAATTAAACATCAACGCGCCAAATGAAAATTATTATTATTATTATTATTATTAGTACAATGAAAAATAACAATTTTTCGGTAATGATTACGGTAATAATAATAATGATTTCTCCTTTTTAAAAAAATTAAAACAAGGGCAATCGAGAGAGAAAAAATCAGAAAAATTTTCTTCAATCCAACTGGGAGCACTTGAAAAAAATCTATAAATAAATTTGTAATTACGAAACATTTTCAAAAAAAAAAAAAAAAATTTCAAAGTACTTATTTCGTCAGTGATGCCAAAATTAAAAAAAAAAAAAAAATTTCAATCAAATGACAGCAATAAATAATAGATGAAGGGTAGTTTAAATTAGTAAAATTCGATGCGGAATCCTTTAACGAAAGTAAAAAAAAATATTCGTTTCGACTCAGGCTTCGATATAAATCGATTACATCGAAAATCGACGAGGAAAATCGATAGTTTTCGATATGGAAAATTTATAGTATATCGAAATCGGCGACACGAATCCGGTGTTATTTCAAACGGTCGTAAATTGTCAAGAAAAACTCGCAGATTTAATAACCGCCGATTTTAATAATAATAATAATAATAATAACAATATGGCGACGAAAAAAATGATTTGAAAATTCACATGAACGATAATAATAATTGGAGCGAAACCGTACGAAATATTGGAGGAGGATGTTACGTTTTTAAAATATGTTTTTTCCCTCCCCTTTCCAATCCCCTTTTCCCTCCCCCTTTCCCACCTCCCATCGTGGCACTTAAAGTTTAAACAGCCTGTCGAAAATTGGGAAATTTAGGTCAATTTCTTGCCAATACTTGTTTTACTGCCAGGTGTCATGACAGGAAAAAAAAAAGAAAAATTGACTTTAATCATCATTTAAACATGTCTGATTTTTTTTAGAAAGCAGACGAGCATTGAAATAGAACAATTAAGCGCTCGTTTGGTTGAAGCGGAAACGAAATTGAAAACGGAAGTGACTCGCATCAAGAAGAAATTTCAAATACAAATCACAGAACTCGAATTATCATTGGATGTCGCCAATAAGAATAATATCGAACTTCAAAAAACTCTTAAGAAACAATCATTGCAACTTACCGTAAGTGATAATTTATTATAAAATATTGATTGATTGATTGATTGATTGATTGATTGATTAAATTTCTTCGTGATAGGAATTGCAAGCTCATTATGATGAAGTTCAAAGACAATTGGCCGTTACCATGGATCAATATGGTATCGCGCAAAGACGCATTCAATCACTCACGGCTGAATTGGAAGAAGTCAGAGGAAATTTGGATGCGGTAAAATTCTATGAAGTTTGATTTTAATTATGAGTTTACGCCTTAAGACTACATTTTATTAAATTTTTTTTTTAGGCTATTCGAGCCAAGAGAAACGCCGAACAGAGTTACGAAGAGGCCACGAGCAGAGTTAACGAATTAACAACATACAATGTTAATTTGGCATCTGCAAAATCAAAGATCGAACAAGAACTTGCCGCTCTTGCTAACGATTACGATGAAGTTACCAAAGAACTTCGAGTACGTGTTTAACATTATTTTCCATTAGGTTACGTTGCTTTATATTGAAACGAACCATTATCTCAATTTCAGGTATCGGATGAAAGGTATCAACGCGTTCAAGTCGAATTGAAACACACGGTTGAAATATTACACGAAGAACAAGAGCGTATCGTTAAAATCGAAGCAATTAAAAAATCATTGGAAATCGAAGTTAAAAATCTTTCGGTTCGTTTAGAAGAAGTCGAAGCGAATGCCATCGTCGGTGGAAAAAGAATCATAAGCAAACTCGAAGCTAGAGTAATTATTATTATTATTATTTTGAATCGTTCGATAAAATTAATTTGAATGTTTAAATGACCGGAAATGTTTTTTAGATTAGAGACATCGAATTGGAATTGGATGAAGAAAAACGTCGACATGCTGAAACGATTAAAATCCTTCGTAAGAAAGAAAGGCAAGTTAAGGAAATGAGCATACAATCGGAAGAAGATCAAAAGAACGTTGCACTTCTTCAAGAATCTCTCGATAAGGTCAATCAAAAGGTTAACATTTACAAGAGACAATTGCAAGAACAGGTGATTAAATGATTTCCACGTTGTTTGTTTACCATCGTTTCGTTTCAAAATGGAGGAGTAATAATGAAAATCCGTTTTTGTTTTTAGGAGGGTATGTCTCAACAAAACGTTACTCGAGTTCGAAGGTTCCAACGAGAGCTCGAAGCAGCAGAAGATCGTGCTGATACAGCCGAGAATAATCTTTCCCTCATTCGTGCCAAGCATAGAACCTTTGTGACCACCAGCACCGTTCCAGGTTCTCAAGTTTATCTCGTACAAGAAACGAGACACACAACATCTCAAGAAACATTTTAAAACGATTTAATAATAATATAATCATACGACGATTCTTTTGTTTTTTTAAACAAATGACTGTTTCATTTAAAATAAAAACATCAAATTTTAAATTTCGATAACGATAATAATAATAACTTTCGATACGTTCGATTCGATAATAAAAAAAACGATATATCTAATACCTTTCATCAAACGATATTTATAAGAGAGTTGTAGTAGTTGTTATATCATATAAATCCTTCATTTTAATATCATAATCGATTCATTATTAGTCATCCAAAATAATAATAATAATAATAACAATAAAAATGTCGAGTGAAAACAGTCTGTCTATAATATAAAACAATCCATCCATAAAGGAATTGTTGTTGTTTTTTTCTAAACAATTATTTTATTTTATCTGTTTGTATAAGATGTGTATGTTTATAAAACAAACGTTTAACAAATTTTGTAAAAAAAAAAAAATAATAATAATAATTAAATAAAAATATCTAAATATTGAAAAAATAAATAAATAAAATCTAATGTTATTCAATTTGGGTTTTTTTATTTATTGTTATTGTTCCAATCGTGCCGTTTATTATTATTATTATTTTTTTTTTTATAGCTATAATCAGATGATGGCAAATTTAATAACGAACTTTATAAAAATAAAAATTTGCTTACGTAATACGAAAATCAATTCAGATTATAATTTTATTTTAAAAAATTATTAAAATTAAATCTTTTATTTAAATTAATTAAATTAAATATTTTGCGTCAAAAGAAACATTAAATAAATTTTAATTTTAAAACAAACTTTTTATTTTTGTTTGAAATAAAAATAAGCAGAATACAATAAATTGCGCGCGCAAAAAAACAAATCAAAATGTAAATTTCATCTGCTTCCACGTTGTTTCTTTATAGGTTAGAAATTCCGTGTAAACGTTTTGTAAAGTGCTCTTTTTTTTTGTGTGTGTTTATTAAATTATTAAATTATGTCTTTTAATACGAAGACATTAATAAATAACCGTTTTGTTTATTATTTAAAAATGTTTTCTTTTTTTTAAATGAAACTTTTCTAAATTAAAAAAAAAAAAAAAAAATGTTGGTAAAGTTTGTTTTTACCATGTAATAAATTCACTTAACATTGTTTATCATTATTATTATTATACTTTTTTTTTTTTTTTAATTTTAAATAATAAAATAAAATATAAGAAAAAGTATTTGAGAGAAAAAAAAAAAAAGGTAAAATGAGTGCGAAAAGTTTATATTGTTTCGTATGTGACATAGCTGTCACAAATAGATATTTTTCATTAGCTACTTGCAGAACACAATCATCAAAAAAAAAATTAGTTGAAAAATTGGGTTATTTGGTCGGAGATCAGTGAGTTTTATTTATTTTCTACCCAAAAATTATTATTATTGTTATTAGTAACGGGTAGACGATTAATAAATTTTTAAAAAAAATTTTTTTTAAGATACATGATAGTCATAACAGAAGATGATGTCATTTGCAGAAGTTGTGCTAATCTCATGAACACATTAGATCGATTAGAAGTTGAAATAGGTTCCGTCAAAAGAGTTGTTCTTAGATTTTTAGAAAGAAAATATTCATTAGAAGAAGGAGAATTGCTAAATCAAAAATCTGATAATCAATTAATGCCAGAGACTGAAAAAATTAATAATCCTACATTTATGGTAAAAATTTTAAAATTATTTTTAAGTTATTATAAATTGTAATTATTCAAAATTTTTTCGTTTTTTTTATACAAGGTAAGGAAAAAACAAGCCGAACAAGAATTTGAAAATGATACTGAATGCAGTGCAGATGATCCTAGATCAAGAATTTGGATGCAATGTGACAAATGTCAATACACTACAAATTACACATCATTCGTTAAAAATCACATAAGGGGTGAAATTTGTCTCAACTGCGAAGCCCCCACCAAAAACGGAATGTGCACCGAAGATTGCATAACGAAATCGAATGTGGAAAATGTTGTCGTCCAAGATCAAAATGAGAAAACATATTCGGAAGCAATGGAACTTATAGTGAACAATATGAGTTTTTTAAATGGAGAAAACGATGAGACATTTTCATTGATACAAGATCCAAATATTCAAGGTAAATTAGAAGTGGCTTTTAATGTTAACGAATCGAGTGATGATGTTAACGTTGTGGGAGAAAATAAAACTGAAGAAAAAGAAGAGAAACCTGCTTTATACCTTCAAGTTGTCAACGAAGATGATGAAGATTTTGATAATAGTAATGTGAGACAGGTATTAACTGTAACCGGTGATGGTGCTGTCGAAATGATGGAAGTCATGTGGAATGAAGAAACAAATAGTCCGGTCGCTGAAATCCCTTTTTAATTTTTCCTTTCCCCCCTCCCCTTTTTTTTTCAATTTGTCTGATGCATAAATATGAACATTTTCATTATTATTATTATTAATACTATTACTTCAGTGTATTTTATTACTCTATGAAAATAATAATCTATTTAAATAATAACAATGTAGGTGTGTTGCCTTAATTATAATTTAATTTAGATAAAATTGTTAATATTGGAAATGAAAAAAACTTATTATTATTATTAATCTTTATAAATTTATTATTTGAAAAAAATGTGCAAAATAATGATATTCATCATCATCATCATCATCATCTTCATCGTAATCATCATAATCATAATGATAATTATTATTATTTATTTAATGTTAATTTGATTTTGTTGTTTAGTTTTTACATATTTTACTTATTTTTCTTTTATTATTTCTGATACCGTTTGATTCATTGATTGATTGATTGATTGATTGATTGATTTAAAGTCTCTCCTTTCCGTTTGTTTAACTTTTTTTTTTTTTTTTTTTGTTATAGAAAACATTCCGAGTAAGAATTTCAGGAACAAAAAAAAAAAAAATTGAAACGAATGTTGTTTGTAATAAAAAAAATTTTTTTTTTTTCTTTTTCTTTTTCATTTGTTGTTGTTTTTTGTTGTTATGATAATAGTAATAATAATAATAATAATAATACTTTTGTTATAATTTTTTTTTTTTCAAATTTTGTATGTGAGCTGATGTTAAAAAAAAAAAACTGGTTAATCTACTCCGTATATATTATATATATGTATACTGAGTATATTTTTCAATTAGATATAATAATAATAATAATAATAATAATAGTTAAATAAAAATATATATATATAAAAAATTATTATTATTATATTATTTATATGTACAATAGTTATCATTCCACATTATTATTATTATTATTATTTGTGGAGGTGACGTCACATTGATATGTTATTAATTAATTATTAATTTTCTTTTCTTATTGCAAGGTTTTATTTCTCACGGTTAGAATAAATAATAATAATGATAATAATTTTATTTAAATAATTTATTTATTTATTTATTAGTTAACGCACTCGGAAGGGTTTTAAAGAAATTTAAAAACATATTGTGTGTCTATATGTTAAACATATAAAATTCTAATCTTTATATAATTTTTTTTTAAATTATTAATTATGTACTTTATTTAAAATACTCGTCGATAAAAACATTTTTTTTTTCAAGCATAAAATTCTACTCGAACTTATATTTAATAATAATAATAATAATAATAATAGTAATAAAAAATATTAAAATAAATTAAAATTAAATTTAAATTTAAATTTAAAAAAAAAATTAAGATCTAACGTATTTATTTTAATTGCAGTTGGATGTTTATTTTCTTTTGTTTCTTCCAACGAATTCAATGACGTCATTCACGGCAAAGCTTTAGCGTGTGGTAAAATTTGTTGTACGTGTTCCGTGCTTTCGACAATGAGCATTATGGAACCCGGTTGATCACGCACGCATTCGACTTGATGACCTCCCCAGTCTTTTCTCTGACAGAATGTCGAACAATATGGAGTTCTACGACATAGAGAACATTCGGCAAATGCATCCCTGTTGCAATTTGCACACTGAAAACCAAAAACAAAAATGACAGACAAGAGGTATTTACATAATGAATATCTTTCTTTTTTTTTACACGTGGTTTTAGATTTAAATTTAAAAAACAAAGCGAAACCTTTTTATTTTCATTGCTGTCTGTTGTGGGTTGAAGGCCAACGGTTTCAACGGCGTTCACCACGTGGACGGGAAGTATTTGTTCTCTCGTTTCGAAACCTTCTCTCGTGCAAGCCACCTGCGTTTCCATTTGAGCATTCAATATAGCTTGTTCTTTTTCTCTCAAATGTGCTTCTCTCATTCCTTCCTTTTCTTGCATCCATTGCACTCTTAATTCTTCGACAGTGTGTCTAAATTGATAAGATAATTTTAACATTTTTTCTGACATCTGTAACAAACAAATTTTTTTTTTCAACAAATCGACAATTCTTTATTATTATTATTACTATTTCAAATTAACTCACTTCTTCGAGTTTTCTAAAAATTGCATTTTCATTATCCGAACTAGCTTTCTTATCGCCATTTTCATTTATAGAATATCTACTTTTAGATTCGTTTTTAGTAACTTGTTCGACATGAACTGTGGAAGATTGATCATCAGCAGGAGCTGTTGTCACTACAAGTTCTTCTCCCAAATCATTCTATAATTATACAATAAAACTTCAATGTTTTGATGTGGTAAATAAAAGACAAAAAAATTTTAATTTACAAACCTTTATTTGAACATATGATTGAGTCGAAGACCAGTCTTGATTAATTTTAGGCTCTGTTGTATCTTCAGTTTCGCTTTCTGGATTGCTGTTTTCTTCTTTAACTGTTAATACTTTTCTAGTCTTACTTTGACTGTTTCTTCCTTCAAAATCTAATTCCTTTTTCCTTCTTCTTTTGTAAGGAGTAAACAATCTTACAGGACCTGTCTAAACATCACAATTTTTTCCAATATTTAATATCACAATTTCAATTATTTTAATAATAAAAACGATATAATTGTAGGAAACATACTGCAGTATCATCATCGCAACAAGCGGCACAAGTACATGCGATGGCATGAGGAACTAGTAATCCATTGTCTATTAAAGCTTGAAGACTTCTACCACCAAATCGAATACTTCTTTTCCAATCTTTACTCGAGGCCCTTCCGCAGAATGCTTCAAATTCATTTGGAGTGTACCAATTATTATCTAATTTAATACATCTACCTCTTCCACCAGATCCAAATTTTTTTTTGTAAAGTTCTGCGTTAGTATTCTACAAAGATATTAACATAAGAAATTATTTAACAACTGTCATCTATATAGGAAAAAAACATATATTGACTTGAACCTTTATCTTTATCATACCTTACACCTAACGGAAAGAACGGGTAAATGTGCAGCATCAACCCATTCGGAATTTTGGCAAAGCATTTGCTGAGAATTATTTTCAGATTCTCTATTATCTACTTCTGGCTCACATAATATATGAGTGGTTTTAACACTCTCATTGTTACTCCTGTTTACCCAGGTTCGTATTGTGCGATCATTTTCTTTCTCCGGCCGTGTTTCACATAAAAAACTACTGTCGACACAAAGGACAGATCCTTTAAATTGATTAGATCCAGAAATCTGAAAATAATACATGCATCTTACTAATCAATCAATCATGTACAAACTTGGACGGATCCAAATTAAAAGAGACCTGAAGTTACCTGAAGTTGATCATGGGTAATGACATTAAAGGTTGTCCCAGAAGGACTTGCAACTCCTATCAACGAACCTACGGGCAAACCTTCCTGTACAGATGTAACAACACTACATTTCGACCGGTCTAAAGTAATACTTTGATGGTCCTCGGGATTGTTCGCCAATGGATCGGATATGTCCGGCATCACGATTTGTTCCGAAGTTTGATTAGACTCCATTTGACGAAAAAGCCGCCAATTTTTCGTATAAATCCAATATTAATAAATTATTTGAAAACAGTATAAACGTTCCAATATTCCACATTCTAATTTTCTTTTGTTAATTTTAACGTCGTCACAAAATTTGACGAATCCAATCCACCATTTTTATTTAGAAAGAGATAGCATTAGTTCAATCGAAATCAGTGTTTACATTGATTGCCCACGTGACTATGTTATAAAAATCTTTCAAAAAAAAAAAAAAAAAAATGGCATTTCATTAAAAAAAAATTATGTAGCATAAAAATATAAAAAAAAAAAAAACCAAAAAGTTAAAAAAAAAAAAAAAAAAAAGTTAACATTATAAAAATTACCAAGTAATTAAATTATTTATTCATTTAAAGGATTAATCGAAGATGCTAATTACAGTAATTGAATTTCTAAAATAAAATTTTAAAAAAGTGTCAGTAAGGAATTTTCCTTTGATTTAAAATTTGTTTACACATACGATAAATTTCAAAGGAAATAACTAATTTTTTTATTTAGTTAGGCAAACCAGCTTGTAAATGTAAGAAAATGAGTGACATTGTAACCAGTATCATGAGTGATGTAGAAAATGAATTTTTGAGTATAGAAAAAGGACAGGGATGGAATAGTTTTTTTTCCGTGAGTATTAAATATATTATTTATCATTTTTCTTTATTTCTCTTGATATATATATATATTTTTTGTAAAGGTCACTTCAAATATTTTATATACCGCCGAAATCTACCACTACTACTACTACTACTATTCATTTGTATTTTTAATTTTGACCTAAAAAAATTAAATGAATTCCAATTGAAACCTATTGAAATTTATTATTTTTTATTATTATAATCATTTGAATTTTAATATTCAAAATTATATATTTTAGTTAATATTAATTTGATATTAACACGTGATGTGCGTACCATACAAATGATTTATTATTTCTTGGAATTTGTACAGTTTTTTTTTTTTTTTTTTTCAAACGCATCTATTAAATTGTGAATTTTTATAAATTATTAACGGTTTTTTTTTTTACTATGATTTTAAAAATATATTTCAAAATTATTCAATCAATAAATTGATTTGATATTTGATGACATTTCTAACTGACTGACATTTTACAAAATTGACTGTTGTTTTCTAAACAAACGCTTAATGAATTAATAAAATTTTTTTAAAAACTAACATCGAAACACATTTGTTTAATTTAATTTTTTTTTTTTTTTGATTTCAGGCAATAAGAGATGAATGTTTACAAGCCCACAATTATGCATTTACAGAAGCCAAAAAACCTAAAAACAAATATTTAAATAGATATAGGGATGTATATCCTTACGATCATAGCAGAATTGTATTATCTAAAAATTCAATCGATTATATAAATGCTAATTTGGTGGTGGTAAGTAAATTTTTTTTTTTTGTTTGTCTCGAAACATACTAGTTAACATGATCTTTCATAATTTACTTTTAAAAATTAAAATGAGAGGAAAATCAATGTCATGTCAAAAGCCAAGTAAAACTTTTATTTTTTTTTTTTTGTTTGTAATTCAGGTAGAAGGAGCGAATAGAAAGTATATTTTAACCCAAGGACCTCTTCCGCAAACGACATCACATTTTTGGTTAATGATATGGGAACAAAATTGCCAAGCTATTGTAATGTTAAATCGAATAATGGAAAAAAATGTGGTAAGTAAGTGTTTTAATATAAATAATTTTATCACATGCATTCCTTATGTTTTTTTATTTTATATAAAAACTGCATTTTTACCTTTTATGGTCAATTTCACATAATTTTGTGGCTTTAAATATGTATCAAGGAAAATATTTTCGAAGGTTGCGACTTTTTCTCAATTTCATTTCCCACAATCAAATAACATTAACAAATATGTTTTTACAGTAAATTTAAAAGAATCAAACTTATAAATCTCATTTTGAAAAAAAAATTCTCCAAAATATTTATTAAATATCTGATTATTATTAATTCGATTAAAGGTGAATAATTAAAGGTGTTAATTGTAATTCGAGTCAGAGTTTAAAAAATGAAAATAATTCTTTTTTAATTTGTCATCATGGATGAAATTTTTTTTTTTTTTTTTTTTAAATTGTGATTTTAAATTGACAGTAAAAAAAATTTTTTTTTAAATCCAAAATTAAATTTCTTTTTCTTTTTTTTTTTTTTTTTTTTTTTTTTCCACAGTTGGTGAAAGTTGACATTTTATCTTTTTAATACAAAACAATTATCTTATTTAAAAACAATGGAGACATTCATTTTTAAATTCTCACAATTAGTATTGTTTTTAATTTTTTTTGTGTTTATCAATTATTAAATGTAACACATAACTGAATAATAATAATAATAATAATTAAAATTTGATGTGAAACAAAAAAAAAAAAAAGAATCAAATCAACTTTATCGAGATTAACCTGTTTTGATGGTTGTGAATTTTTTTTCTTATAGGTTAAGTGTCATCAGTATTGGCCACAATCGGATTCGACTGGTGAAGAAAAATCTCTTATTTTAGATGATGTTAATTTAAAAGTTATTAATGTGTCAGAAGAAAAAGATCCCTGTTACATAACAACTAATTTAATGTATTTATTTATTTATTTATGTTCATTTTTGAATTTTTTTCCGGTTTTCAAAAAAATAAAAAAAATATTGATGGGTTTTTTAGATTAGAAGATCTCGAGACTGGTAATCAAAGAGAAGTTATTCATTTTCATTGTACAACATGGCCAGATTTTGGCGTCCCACAAAGTCCTACAGCTTTTTTAAGATTTTTAAACGCTGTTCGTGCGAGCGGTGCTCTAGAACAAGAAGGTCCTGCCGTTGTACATTGTTCAGCAGGTATAGGAAGATCAGGAACGTTTTGCCTCGTCGATTCTTGCTTAGTTATGGTAACGCCTTCTTCTTCTTCTTCTTCTCCTACTCTTGTCTTAAAATTTAAAACTTTTTTGTTGTTGCTGTTGTTGTTTTCGATACAAACTAAATGCTCCTCTTTGTTTCAGATACAAGATATGAAACTTAATAATGTAGTAGTGAAAGATGTGCTAATGGAAATGAGAAAATATCGTATGGGTTTAGTTCAAACGCCTGGACAACTTAGATTTTCATATTTAGCCATTATAAAAGGCCTCGATAAAACAGAACTTGAAAATGGATGGCCGGTGAGAGAATCATTCATTTATTTGTATTTGAAAAAAGAATTAAACTTTTCGACTGTTGTTAAATAATTCTCCCTTTGGTTAGTTAGTTGTGTTATTGTTCTTTTTGTTTTAAATTATTATTATTATTAGAATGAGAAATTGGAAGAGGTCAAAGACGAGGAAAATTCTGAAGATGAAGAAGCACCGCCTCTCCCACCTCCTAGAAACGAATCCTTGAGTGCATCTCGAGAATGTGCAGAAACAAGTAAAGGAGATAAAAGTTCTGGTCAAGACAACGACATTGTAGAGAAAACGTGAGTTTTTTTTTTTAAAATTCTTTTTTTCTTTTCCACCCCCACGCCCACTCCCCCCCCTCCACCTTCCCCTAAATTCCCAAAAAAAAAAATTATGGACATGATGATAAATTTTCTTTATCACACAATTTTACACAAAAATTTTTTAATTTATTTTTAGTCATCAGGTAAAAAAAACAAAAACAAAAACAAAAAATATAAATATGACAAGAGAGAAATGAGTAATTTGTCTCTTGTAAGTTTTTTTTTTTTTAAATTTCTCACAACGATTCTTATTTTATGTGGTAGTAGAAGTAGGAGTAGGAGTAGGAGTAGTAGTAGTTGTAGTTTTGTGGCACACCCACCCACACCCATACGCACATTCACACACACACAAGAACATTTTGTTTGCCACCACCTTTTCATTCATCAAGTTTGTTAGCCAGCCGACATTTTTTTTATTTTTTTAAATTTAATAATAGAAAAAAAAAGAAATGAAAATTATTATATTTAATAATAATAATAATAATAATAATAATAATAATCCCTGTAAAATGCAAAAAAATTTTATAAACCTTTTTGGCAGAATGCACCGCCAAGCAAAATACCAAGGTGGAAGAAGTTCCACGGGCACGAGAAAGCATCCGTACAAGACAGGAAATAGGTATCTTCACCGGAAACATAGAGATCGTTCTAGGTGACGATGATGATGATGATGGTGAGGCCATGATGAGTGAAAAAAAAAAAATTAAAAAAAAAATAAAAAATTTTTCATCAACGGTACATACCAAACAAATTAATTAAACAATCAACAATTTAAAATTTAAATTTAAATTTAAAAAAAGGAAACAAAAAAAAAAAACAAAAAAACTCACAATTATTTTTTTTTATATAACAACCTGTTTTATTTATTTATTTATGTGAATAACCAACCGTTTTTTTTTATTTTAATTTATTTGGTTTTTTGATTATATATGTTAATAATAATGAGTTACATAAAAAGAAAAAGAAAAGAACATAAAGTTGAGGAGGTCTAATGAAAAATAATAATAATAATAATTAATGTTAACGAAAAGTAACATTAAGCGAAATTGTTTTTTTTTAATTTTTTTAATTTTTTTTTTGTTTTTGTTTTCAGAGGGGAAGAAGAATCGACGACGTTACATCAGAGAAAGGGACGAGACGTACGAAACCAAATATTAGAAAACAAAATAAAGGAAGTTAAGAAAAAACTACGGGAAACGGAATCGTGGCAGAAGTGGAGGAAATCGTTATTTCACCCCTGGAGCATCGGTTGTCTCATTATCGGAAGCGGAATCGTCGTGTGCGCTTTGCTCGCTTTTCGGGATTAATTAATTGATTTATTATTATTATTATTACTACCCCTCCTACTACTACTACTACTACTGCTATTATTATTACTATTATTGTTATTATTATGTGAGAACGGAGAGAAAGACGCGGAAAGAAAGCGGGAGAAAGAGCGGAAGAGAGAGAGAGAGAGAGAGAGAAAGGAAAAATTATTTTTTACGTGCCGTTTGTTTGTTTTTTTTTTTTTTTTTTTTTAATTCGATGCGAAACGCGAGTACAATAATAATGATAATAATGATAATGATAATATTAATAATAATAATAGTAATAGTACAATTGACATTAAAAACTTTTTCTTTTTTTTTTTTCGTTTTTTTTTTTTTTTTTTTTTTTTTTTTTTCGTTTTTTTAAAGGAAAGTAAAAAAAGAGAATTTTTTTTCCCTTGTCGTTTGGTTATTTGTTGGTTTGGTTGTTTGTTTGTTTTTTTTTTTTTTTTTTTATATTATTATTATT